TATATATATATATGTTGTGTGTCTGTATACGTGAATGTGTGTATAAAACATTTGCTCACACGATTTATCCTCAAAATAATGTTTTCCAATATTGTATTAATCTTGCCAATAACAAAATGTATCAATACAATAGTGTGAAGAGCACGAAAAGAGAGAGAGAGAGAGAGAGAGCGATTCGTTATCAATTAGACCGGTTCAATTAACAATTGAAAAACCGGCTCAATTAACAATTTTTGATTTTTCTATTTTATTGTTTAAAATCCCTTGTTTCGTTCTTGTGAGAGCTAACATCAGTGAACTTTTATTAAATAAATAAAAAAAATTAGATAACTTATATTTTGTTATTGTTTTTCAGAATCCCATTCTTGATGTGCTTAAATTTCATAATACGTTTGAGAATTAAAAAAAATTTCATTGAAATTTATTAACATAGTTAAAAGTTATAAATATAATAAACTCTTAGTTGAACGATTTTTAATTATATTGATATTAGCATAAAAAAAGGAAAAATTAAATTATCTCATTATAAAGTAGAGGAATTTTTAGAATTTATTGATGAATATAATCTAAATAGTATTACTGATAATTTATTATTGAAAGTTCAGAAATAAGAAATTCAACGTGAAAAAGCGCAAATTTTAGATATCTTTACCATATATCTATTCTAAAATACGTTCTAAATTATTCAAATTATTTTTATCTACAGATTATCAAAAGATTCTCTCTACGTTTAGGTCTGTTTACAGAATGGAAATGGACAATTTATCAGAGATTAAGAATCTTTCTTCTCAATTCTGAAAGAATTGTAAATTACTGTAATAATTCGATATTTTTTTAAAGTGATCTGGCTATTAAAAAAATTTTAAAGAATTTTATTATAACCCTCTTGTATTAAGCTAACTACAATTATGCTATCTTCTGTAAAAATTCTAAATTGAGCTTCGAAATAATAAATAGTAAAAATAAATAGTAAAAATTTCAAGTTTAACAATGCAAATTATATTATGATTAAAGAAAGTTTTTTTGATACCCGGTTAATATTTAAAATTAATCATTTACGCTTTCTATACTTATTAATCTGTCTAAAATCTCGTTACTAATTAAATTTAGTTTCGAACAATCACTTGTGAATCTAATATTTACTTAATTAAACCTGACGTTTTTTTTCAGCATTAACATTATTATTAAAGAAGGTTTTTCTTTGATAATTGATAATGAAAAACCTACTTAATACTTTATTAAACACAACTTAATTATATCTATATCGACATTTCAGTTCCAATTTCTCTGTAATGGCATTCCACTTCTCAAACTAATTTTATTATTATTATTTTTATAA